GCGAGTCTCTCTTATTGGAGTCTGTAAAAGCAGCCGAGACAAAGTCGGCAGTGATTTAGGGGCAGATGCTGATGGCTTTGGGCAGGTGCATGGACTGGATGTCTCTTAAAGCCCAAGCTCCTGGAGGCATGTGATTAGATGGAAATTTCAGCTTCTATTAAAGAAAGAGAAATGGTCCCTCACCCTCACAGTTGTAAGGAAGCACCTGCAAATCTGAGCTGGGTTTGGTGTCAGCAGAGGACTTGAAAGATTGCTCCAAGCTGAGGAAACCCACATTTTGGTATCAGGGTCTGCTGCCTGAACGTTGGAGGTAGAAGGTGAGGTTATCCTAAGAACAAAGGAGAGGGAAAAAAACTTTGGATATATCCAGTGATCAGGGAGCAGAAGCTGCCCTCACATCTTCTCCTGGTGCTTCATGATCTTTCCACGCTCCTGCATGTGCCCCCGTATTTTGATTTTTGGTCAGCATCCTTGGGAAGTCAGCACAGCCTTGGTCCAGCGGAAGCCTCGCTGTCCCCCATCACCTTTGTGGCACTTGTTTTGGTCAGTTCAATGGAGATTTAGAAGCAGGGAAGAGACCTCTGAGGTCATTTCAACTACTGCCCCTGCGGACAAGTGCGAGGCTGCTCACTTGGAAAGAGCTTTAGTTAAAATAATAATTAAGGCAGAGGATGGAATCGGGGCATGCAGACCTGTTAAGGATAGTGCTGTCCTGACCGTGTCCCTTTTCCATTTTAATTGCCTTGGAAAAAAAAAAAAAAAAGTAGAATCGCAGGCCTTTAAAAGCTCTGATTCTTGCTGCTCCTCGCCACCCCCCTGCACCCACCCGGATCTTGGAGGCATCAACTCTCATCTGTCAAAGTGTAAATCAGCAATTAAAACACAAACAGCGAAATGCCAAAGATGACCCGAAGCACAAAGCAACTGACAAACAAGTCCGGACAAATCGGTGGATAATTTATAAGCATTGCCCTAAAATCTAATTATTTGGCAATTCGAATTTGCAGCCGGCCAGGGCTGTGCAATAAATTTAACCCGCCATAAATTATTTAGGAGCAGCCCGTGGTGTAAATCAAAACCACGAGTGTTTGTTTAAGAAATAAGCTTCTTGTGCATAAAACGACTTTTTGTTTTTCAAGAGGGGACCAGAAAGAAATGGCTGAAGGAAATGAGCTGTGCTGAGCCTGTGTCCCCTCCGTGGGACCCCCTCGTCTGTCCTGCCTGCACCTCTTTGGAGGTGTAGTGTGGTCTTTGGGAGGATGTTTTATGCTTTTCCCTACCGGAAAAAATCCTCTTCTCTCAAAGACATCTGCTTGTTTTTATTGCGTTTTGAATAGTAGGCTCTGATTTTTATGGGCATCTTTTATTCTCGTGTTTATTAAACTTCTTCACAGATGGGGGCGGGTGTAAGGGATAAATTATTCCCTGATAGTTTTAGGATGGAATTGTCCATACAGTCTTCCTCAAATAAATAAGTCAGCGTCCCAGAGTATGTCCTGTCCTCAGCTGACGTGGGTTAGAGGGCTTTGAGGCCCAGGGAGATCAGCAGGGCACAGAGTGTGTGCGAGTCCTGCTGGATCAAAGCAGTGAGCAAAAGTTCTGCTGTGGGATGAGTGCAGCTTTCTTTGCAAAAGTTCTGCTGTGGGATGAGGGCAGCTTTCTTTGCTGAGGTCTCATTGCTTTAAGGAGACGCCAAGCAGGTGTAGTTGCCTGCTTGTGCAAAGCTTTAGTTGTCGAGAAAATTGAGAGAGCTGCATCTTGCCTTCTGTGCTGTGGTGCAGCAGGGATGGGAGCTGTATTTAAGGTGGCCGGGCAGGGAGAGGTTTTATGGCACTGATTCTGCATGGCCTCATGAATTTTTCAGATCCCTTTGAAAGGGAAGTCCAGCACTGCTGGTAGTGCCCTGCGGACGGCCCAGCCGCGCTGCTGGCACCCAGCACCTCTTCTCAGGGAATGTTTAAAGAAACAAGGCAAATCCGAGCCAGCTGTCACATAGATTTGTTTGAATTACCACGAAATCATAAAGGCAAGGTTGTTGTAAAGAGTGCGGGCTGGGTAATGGATCCGTGTAAGCCTGCGGCGCTGCAGGTTCTATTGTTGCAGAGTTTGGGGAGCAGCAGAGGGAGCAGAGGGTGCCCGTGTCTCTGTAAGCGCGTTAGTATTGATTTTGGAAGCGCTGTGTTCTAACAATATAAATGCAAATGCCCGTAATTGGGTGCTGCGCGCAGAATTTCCCCACACAAACCATATTCAACTTTTCACCGCGCGGGAAGGAAAATAAAAAGCTGCTTATTTATTGCCGGCGGTTTGAATCCCGGATTTCCTTTCAAGTTACTTCGCAGTGGTAAATAAAAGCCCTTAATTGCGGTGCTCGCAGAATTCAAATGGGGGCATTTGTTCTGCTGGGAGCTCATGGCTGTGGGCCCCCCCGGCATTGCTGCAGCACAAGCAGTGTGCTGGGTGGTGGAGATGGTAATGTGTGAGGCAGACGGGGATGGTCAGAGTGATGGGAGGGAGAGGGGACGTCAGGGAGGCTCTGCCTTAGGTTCCCTGTGCTGCTCTCTGTTCCTTTTCTCACTTGGCCAAAGCACTGGGTGTAGGGATGGAGGTTACCGGGCTGCTGGGAGGTGTGTGTGTATGTGTTAGGGCTCACCATTTCATCATAATTACTAATGAAATTGTAGATCTGTAATAACATTTTGGATATCTAAAACAAACCATATGCTTGTTAAAAAAAAAAAAAAGAGAGGACGGGAGAAAAGTGGCAACAGATCAACTTGAAGCCATAAATTCTTGGTAATAGAGGCCTCCTTTTTCTTTCCCTTTCTGTTTATGTTTGATAGATATTTTTGTTTCTGCAGGAATGTCAACTCTTAATTTCATGATGTATCATGGGCTTAAGAAAATTGAATTTAATAAAGGCAAAAGATGAATGGCACCTTTAAAGGTCCCAACACTTGTCTTTATTAGCAGGACAAACTGCAGGGTCTCCGAACACTGCTTCTCTCCAAATGAAAGTTTAAATGAAAAGTACAGCAGTGTCACAGGTTAAATTTCATTGCAGGACTGGCTAACGTTGTTACTGAGGAGTGGGGCTGATTTCATGGGGCCGGGATCTGTTGCCTTAGATACCGACGGAGCAAACACTGCCAGAGCCTGGAAAAATCTCCACTATAGGAAGCGTGCAGATAAACAGCCTTTGGGGAGCAGTCCTTTACCACTTGCTTAAAAAGGGACCGAATAAGCCCTGAAGAGCTGCTGCTCGTTCTCTCAAGCTGGAGTTGCTCTGCAGGTCCCACCCCGACTGCCTGGCTGTGTGCTTCCCCAGACCTGTGCTAATGCTGGATGTTGTTAAATTTTCCACGTTTTTAGTAGCATTTAGTTTTTATTTCCTCAGCCTATTTTAACATGACCCTCCTGGCAGTGCTTCCTGCTGTCAGTGCTGGAAGGCAGTGCCTTTGTGCATCCCACCACGCCATGGCTGTTAGGGACACTCTGTGGGTGCTCCATTGCCCCATTCAGCTGTGTCTTCATCTAGCCTCACTCTCTGCAGTTCAATGGGGGATGCCACATGGCTGTGGCCAGTGCCTTTGGCTGCGGCCAGGCAGCGCTCAGCCCTTCTCTCTCTGCGTCTTCCTCCCTGTCCCTTCTCAGCAGTGGGATCCTTGGGTCCTCCCACCCTTTAGTGGGTAGCACAGCACAGGGAGAGATGCTCCCAAAGCTCCTCTGCATGCACAGCTGCCCCTGTGAGGCTGTCTGACCCCCCGCTGCCTCCCTCTGTGCACTCAGCACTGCATACACTTGGTTCCATTCATTTCTCCAACCTGCAGGCACGTGCCCCCCACAGCACATCCTGCTTAGGGCCAGATACCTCTCCTCCTGGGGATACCCTGGGTGTTTCCTCTATTTACATTATTTGCTGTTTCCATTTACCCACCCACTGCTGCATCATGATGTCATCAACTCACACGTATGACCTCACATTAATTTCCCTCTGCGGGTCACAGGGGTTGCAGTCAGGGTCCAAACTGGTGTTAGTTCCTCTGCAGTGACTGCACTTCTACATGCTAATTTTACTCACAGGATTTTTTTATATATATATGTGTATATATATATATATATATATATATATATATATAATTTTTTTTTGTATTATTTCTTATTTGTCTCTTCCAGATGTTTTCAGGCAGTTTTTTTTTTCCGTTGTTGTTAAACTAATTCCATTCATGTTTTAAAAATTTATGAAAGCGCTAATAAAAATGTCAAAGTGGTAAAAATGTTAGCTTTTGCTCTGCTTTGATTAAATTTTGCAAACTGTTTTTGAATATTAAAAAGCAATATTTTTTTTTATTCTCTCTCCCCCTCTCCGTTTCTCCCCAGAAGTGATTTGAGAGGCTCGGTGCGTGGATATCACTCAGCAGGCTCATTTGCACTCCAGAACCTCGGTGCCATGCATCTCTATTAAATAACATAGACAAATTATTCTTTAAAGACACCAAACAAATTGTCGCTTCTCCTCTTGCATTAAACTGGAAGGAAGAGAGGGAGTGAAGAAGGAGGGCTGCAAACACAAAGGATTTTATGGCTTTTATTCGGCGGTTGGCTTTTTTAATTTCATGTATATTTTTTAATAATTGTGAAATCCATCGTAACGGGATTTGTTTAAACTTTTTATTAACAGGTCCATGTAAATTTTTGATTGTTGATTATTCAAATAATTGAACATTCTTCTGATGAAGAACGGTTTTATTTCCCTATCAGCATAAGTTGTCTGCAAAGAGGAAAATGAAGCAGGGGATGCTGCTGCGCTGTGTTCTATGGCGGTGGTTTGGGGGGGCTCCAGTCCCTCTCCTCCCACTGCAGTGTTCCTTGTGACTTTGATTTCACCTCTCCTGGGCTCCTGTACCCTAGCATGGAGCTTCACGTTGTGCTTGGCTAAATCTGGGGGTTCTGTTTATTTGGTTTACATGAACAGTTTCTCTCCTTCTCGCCCCGTTCAGGAGATCATCGAATTCCCTATCCTGAAGCTGAATGGAAGGACGATGGAAATTGAATCCACCTTTCACATGTATGTTCAGCCTGTGGTGCATCCCCAGCTTACGCCCTTCTGTACAGAGGTAAAGTGCAAAGGTTCCCCGGTTCTCTGAGTCCCAAGGGGAGCAGGTTTTCATTGCACCAGGGTTGGGGCCCCCTGCTCACAGTGTCCTGCCGCATGTTGAGGACAATTGAGGACAAGAAGGGGATCTTCTTATGTCTTTGTAGCAGCGTGTAGAGGTCTCTCTTTGGGTTTGTGAGTTGTGATCATTCAGTTATGAGCTGGTAGCTGACACTGGTTCTGTTTAAACTAATGAACGTATTCCTAGGTGACCACAAAACAAAAGCATTGCTGTTGTGTTGTGTAATCTACAAAACACTGGCAGCCTCCATGTAAACTCTTTGGGATTTTGCTGTTCTGAATGTTGATGGGAGAGGTCGCAGAGAGCATCAACACAGAGGTTTTTAAGTTCTTTTTGCTTTGGGTTTTTTTCCTGTTCCTCTACTGTTTTAATGTTATCCAGGTCAGCAACTAAAGCACTGACTGTGGGCTTAGGGTATCCAGGCCTTTTGTTCCCTCCTGTTGTCATCCAGCACCATTGGCACTGTGGTATTTTCTCCATTCTCTTTGACTGCATTCTCCTTTGACAAGCTTATCCTACATGTAGTGTCTGTTTCCAAGTGACTCCTGTCTCTTAAGTGGAGCTGTCTTTAAGACCAGCCAGCCATATTTGCATGTTGTTAAAACATATGCATACACACACACTTCTTTTTTTCTTTCTCCTGTAGCTAAAAGCCAGCCAAAGGTATTTTATTTAAACTAAAAGAGGCAAAAAAATAAATAAAAACTAAGCTCAGAGAACATTATTCCCAGGAGAGGGGCTTTCAGAAGGCCCTGTTTTCACGCATTTATAGCTAAATTGGAAGTGTTTTTGCAACTTTAACATGATAAGGCTGGACAACTATTTGGGCTGCCCCTATGCACAGGAGGCTTGCTGGACGTGTGCTGAGGCAGATGTCTGCTGTGATAGATCTCACAGTTTGCACCTAAGAGCAATGTTCCCTTCTAGAGTAAGGCCTGGAAGGTAAGTGCTGTGTGTCATTGGATTTCTAGAGAAGTCATCTCACTTATTTGCTCCTACTGACATTCCCTTTCCTAGGAATTCCTCTGTTGCAACTTTCCCCACCCCAATACATTTATCTCTTGCACTGCTTTTTGCAGAGGCCCTATAGAGACGCTTGGGGTTTGGGAGACATAAGCAGCCCCAGGAGCAGCCCCAGCTGTGATGTATATTCCATTCCAGCTCAGCCCCTGCCTGCACAGCTCCAGCGTTCACCATCAGCTTTGAGCTGGTTTTTGTTGCCTGAAAAATATCCATTTTGCTAAATGCCAGTAAAGGGCTTTGTCTAGGCACCTCTACTTACAAAGGGTGAGATTTATTGGCCTCTTTGTCTACAAAGAAAGACCAGGCCTGATTATCAGATTGTACACCAGAGACAAGTGTTTAGGTAATCAGCAAACTGTCTTAGAGTAGAAATACGATGGTTTCTCAGATAAACTCTGGTGCAAAAGCAGCAGTGTTGACACTGCACGGGAACCTGACTGCCCTGCTTCTGCTTTCCCTTTCCCTATCCATTGCTTTGCCAGAAGGTGATCGCACTGCTCAGTAAGGAGTGTGTGTGTGAGGCTCAGCAGGGCCACCCAACGTTATTCTTCTGGTCTGGAGCATCTCTCACACTCCTCTTGCTGAAGAAAGCAGCATGAAAACGGTGACTGCAAGGACAAAGGGCTTGCAGTCACCTTCAGGGCATCTCTCTGCTTAGGTTTTGTGGTGGCTGAACTGAACCCCGGCTTCAGAAGGTTCCTCCAACCTCCCACACCACTGCTGGGAGCATGCCTTCCAAGCTGCTTTCTTCTGTTGCCCTGCTCTGATTCCATATTTCTTGGCAGGACACGAACTATAAGGCTTGGTTCTGGTGTCAGGCAGAGAAAGTAGGGAGAAAAAGCTCCTCCTGCCCTTTTGAAAGATACAGGTGGTTAGATGCCCAGGAAAGCTCATACCAGGAGCTGAAATGACAGGATCCCTCTACACATGAGGCGCTCGTTCAGGCTTTTTCATGGTACTTTGCTCTCTTTTTATGATTAATTTTTATTGATTTTTTTTTTCCTGAAGGAACAGACAATAAAAGTACAGAAAGATAAATGCCTTATCGCTTGTTTATGTTCCCAAATACCATGTGCTTCTTGGAGTCGCCAGTGAAACTTTACAGTGGTGCAATTTGATGTTTTTATATTTTATCAGAAGAGATCAGATAATACTGCATAAAGCCAGTGCACCTGGGTGGGTGCTGCAGGTGATGTATGTAACCGAGACCAGAAAAGATGGCAAAAGATGGGAGAGCAGAAAGCTGGTCCCCTTTGAGCAGTTCCTTTGGTGATGAATTGTACCCATCCTTCAGGCGCTTCCTGCGGTCAGGCTGGCTCTGTCCTCCTGTGCCAGGCAGATGTGTGGGGAGAGGCAGCGAGGAGGGGAAGAAGCCAGCCAGTGTGCTTTAAAAACCACTTTGAAGAGCTGCATGTTAATCTCCTAAATCTATTTGCCTCTTAGAATATGGGGAGTCTGCAGGCAGCAGCTGTTATACAATTAAAATACAGATTAATATGAAAACAGTTTCTAGGATATGAGTGTCTGTGTCCTTACACTTCCTTAAAATTCCACCTTATAATGACTTGATGAACTTGAGAAACCCACCTAGAGGAGCTCTGCATTCTTAAAATTAGAATACTTTCCCTAAAAGCTATATATTACCGTTCCACGGAAGTCACGATGAGAAAATAATCTTTTCACTTGCAGCTTATTCAGCGAGTCAGGTATTTGGTATTCATTAAATGCAATTACAGTTTAATTGAAGTTTAATCTTTTTTTTTTTTTTTCTTGTTCCCCTTCTTCTGAGTTCTGTGCTGTAAACCAAGCAGCCAATGGAAGAGAGAAGTAAAGCAGCAGAGCTGCTGCCAGCTGCCATGTTGTAGCAGAGCCTTGAGGTTTATGCTGAGACGTTCTGTGCAGGAGGCCATGCTGGTCTCCTGCAAAGTGCCAGATGAAGGAAAATACTGGAGTGTGCACTTGTTATAATAATGATTTTTTTAATTACTTGGGTGCATTGATGGCAAGCTACTGACCTCCAATATTCAATATGTTAAAAGACGGTTTTGTCAGTTGGAAGACAGACAGAAAAATTATCTGCTTTCTGTGTGCCTCAAGCTATCACAGGTGGGGGCCCATGAGACCACATCTCTCTGTGCATGTGCCTACCCTTCAGCAGCCAAGCCATCCTGCTGCAATGCTTTACTGCCCAGCACAGGGAATGAATGGATTCCGAGCAGCTCCCACTGAGTGATAGTGTGGTCTCAGTACCAGGGGCATGCCCAGAGCCCCCAGTAGAGCTCATCAGAACAGGAATAACTGGGAAAGTGCAGCTCTGGGACACCATGTCAGGCCGTGCAGTGGCACTGCTGCTCCCCAAGTGCCTCCAGCCCCATTGGGAGTTCATTGTTCTGTGGGGGGTGGGCAGGAGCCCCGTACTTTCCTGTGTTTGGGATGGAGCTCTGCCCTTGCCCATGGCTCTGCTATGGCTGATCCCTCGACAGCACCCACGCAGGTCACAGGAGCATGTTTTGGTTGCAGGGAGATGGACAGCAGAGGAGACCTTTCTAATGATCTTTTGAGTGCTGCTCTGATGGCTGCTCTTTGTTTGTCTCTCATTTCAGCTGACTGGGATTATTCAAGGCATGGTGGATGGGCAGCCGAGCCTCCAGCAAGTGCTTGAGGTAAGCAGAATAACCTTTATTTCCTGAACTCTGACCTCTGGTCCTGTCGTCTCCTCTTCATCTCCTTCCCTGCACCCTCCCCTTGCTGAGAATCGAACCGCGTAATTTGACTATGATTACAGCTTCATTAGAATAACATTTGCTGTCACGTCGGTGACACACTGCTGAGAGTATTGAACCATTGATCTGTCATTTCCAGCTGCTCATGTCAAGGGTACTGACAAGATATCCAAACTCTTGCCAGTAGATAGGAGAAGAGGCGATTCTTCCTTGAGCCAGTTTTAAAGGACCGAGGCGTTGCTTGAAACCACTGCTCTGGAAGCTCTGTCTTTTTTCCTTCCTCTTCCTCAGCGTTTTATTAAATTAATTTTTTTCTACCTATTTAAATGCTAAATAATACACGTAGCATTGAAGGAAAATGCCTCTAAAATCTAATCTGGAGGATTTGCAAATGCAGATATAGCCCTAATAATGCCATCTGCTTAATGTTGAATTCCTACAGCATTTAGAGCTTAATTAGCTTGGAAGTGTTTCTCCATCAATAGCTTTTGTTGGTAGTTAAATAATGAAGGAAACCTCCCCAAGCAGAGCCCTCTCAGGCTGCAGGTTGCTGCTCAATGCATTGTCTCTGTCAGGATTTCCACTGCTGTGTTACCTAATTGTTCCTAATCAGAATAATTGTAACAATTGCTTATGTGAAGAAATCAAATTAAAGGCTTTAAAATCCTCCATGGAGACAGCACTTCATGGGCACTCACATAAGAGTTCAGCAGGGTTGCAGCGGGAGCTTTGCTGCCAGATCCTGGAGGTGCAGGTGCTCATGGGGCCAGGAGTGTTCTGCTTTGGGGTGGTTGCTCCCAGGAGGGCTGTCCTAGTTGGAATGAATGTCTTCTTAGGGGGTTTAGCCTAGGCTAGCCTGGTTGCTCCCTAAGGTGAGTGTGCATCCTCCAGATTATTGTGGCCCATTTGTGAAGTGGATCCAGAACATATGTTCTTGTGGGAAGTTCACTGGGAATATGGGCTCACTTGAAACCCAAGCTGAATGAATTGTAAGGAACAAGGAGAGACCAAACCTGGGAGTGGAAGGTGGGATGGCTGCCTTTGGCTGTGACTGCTGCAGTGTTCAGCTGTACCCAGTTCTTTGTCTCTCTCTCTCTCTCCCATATCCTGTGTGTGGAGTGGAGTGTGTGAGCAGTGCTGTGAGTGAGGGACACCATCCCAGGATGCTTGTGTTATCCTGGATATTCAAACAGGTAGTAAGAAGCTCCTGCTCAGATTTGTTTGGCTGCCTCATTCCCTTCAGCTTACAGCCTGGTGCCTGGAGGGCCATTGTGGAGGGCTCCTGCTTTGGCTTCTCTTACTCTCGCCCAGATCACAGTGGAGTGCTTCAAGAAATAAGCGCATTCTTCTTGGCTGAAGGGGGACAGGTTGAGGTCCCTACAAGCCCATTTGGTGCAGGGAGAGGAGAAGTGCAGGAATGCCAGGTAAAAGCGCAGCTGTATTGTCCCGTTAAGGCTGCACAACTTCCATCCTTCTGTGAGCAGAGCAGCTGTGGTGCCAGATAAGATCATCTCCGCTCTGGTTGCCTGATGTCTCCTATCAGAAATCTTCAAAGGTCCAAACGTGCTGTTGTTCAGATGGCAAGCAAAAAGAGAAGAGAGAGAGGGAGAGAGGTGGATAAGATCACAATTTTCTTCTCACTTGATTGCAAGCGGCTTATCTGAGTTTAACTGTTCTGGCTCGGCCTGTCTCTGCAAAACTCATCCCCTTTTCTTGCCTTCCTTTCAGAGGGTCGACGAATGGATGGCAAAGGAAGGACTCTTAGATCCCAGCGTCAAGTCGATTTTTGTGACCTGTGGAGACTGGGATTTGAAAGTGATGTGAGTATGGAAAGGGAGGGAGGTTTTTCTGGGCTTTATTGCTCCATGCTTGCCTGTAATGTGGATATCTTTGTCCTTACAAGCCTCCGACTGTCCCCAGTCTTTATTTTTCAGGGAAATCGTTGTTCGCCGTGCATAATTGGGAGTGGAGGGTTGTTTAAGAAGACAGGTAGGTGCTAGGCATAGAGCCAGATCACTGCCCAGGATAATCTCTATAGCAAATGAATCCTTTCATAACCCTGAGAAGGGTTTAAACTGGGGCTTTGTGATATTTCCTGTTTTTAGCCAACATGTTTTCCAAAGGGATGATCATCCCTAAGCATACAAATGAAATTCCATTTCTGAACACTCAAATCAAGCAGTAGTCTTTACCTGACTTTGGCATGCAGATCCTTTGTCCCTGTCATCTTGGCACGTTAACTGGATGTGAATTAAAGTAGTCTTTGGGAAAAGAATACAAGCCAAGTCTGACATGCTTCACTGGTCTTTTGTATCGCTGAGGTCGTGTTCCTGAGTGGGGTGACTGGCATCTAGAGAGTTCCAGGTGGGGACCTGCGTTGAGGTCTACAAGTGCTGGTGTATGTGCATGTTTTCCCATGTAAACAGCTAGACCAGCAACCCAGGAAAGTGATTTTGAAGAAGTGAATGAAATTAATCTAACCTGTAAGATATTTTCAAAGTATTATCATACTGTGCTGAATTCACCTGGATTGCTGTAAACTTGCCTCAGCTTTTCATTTCCTCAGAGTGCTGGGTTAAGGCTCCTGTTGTTATCACATCAGTAAAGCCTGGACTTGACACATACAAAGCTAAGCTGACATCCACAACTCGTTAGTAGTGTTACTTGGTGCTCACTGTGACGTTGGTTTCCACAAGCTGGAAGCCTAAATAAACTGCGCACAGCCAGGGAGCAATCAGCACCGGTTCCTTCCCTGCAGAGTGGTCTTTGTAGAGTGGCAGCTCCTTGCTTCCACATGGTATGATTAGTGAGGCATGAGATACGGGGATCGAAGCAGCAGCACAAGCGCTAGTAGAGATGAGGAATTTGCCATGCTCTTTTGAGTCAGAAGTTGCTGGGACTCTGCTGGGGTCATGACCAGAACTTGAACATGAGTATATTGCCAATTCTCTGTCACTGGTTTAATGTGTTTTTCTTTGTAAATTGTGCTTAAGCGTTTGTTAGAGTCCAACACAAAGACAGCTGCAGGGATGTGCTAAACATCTATTTCCAATCTCTTTTCTTGGCACTTTCCTTCTCTGTTGCTGTTTTGAGAGTCCAGTTTACTGCTTTTGGTGATGGTTGTGAGGAACAAACTGTGGTTTGCTATGTCTCAAAGCCCATCTTTCCATCCCCTTCACACCAGGCTAACAAGGTTTCCAGATAATGGCATCATAACTCAGTGTCTGTATGAAATAGACAACCTTCTGCATTTACTATTTCATCAGAGGCCGATAGTGGGGAAATATCGTGACGATGAGCCCTGTTTCTGGTGAGCCATGGGGACTGTGGGGTGAGCTGAGCCAGCAGGACACGCAGCTCTGGAGCCCAGATACTTGATTCACCATTTGCAGCAGTCTTTTGCATGGACTGTGCCTCACTAGTCAGCTGGAAAAGAACACTCCACTCCTGGCCATGAGGCTGCAGTGAGTGGTTCATTTCTCCCTCTTCCTTTTAAAAAAATGTTTTAAACCATTAACTTCAGAATTCAATCCTGAAGCGTCTCCAGGGCAGAGCAGAAAGTACATTTCATGTTTCCAACCACAGATACGGGGAGCCCGGCTGCAGCCGTTCAGCAAGTAGAGCATCGCACTGCTCCGCCACCGATTGGGTGCAGCAGCGTGCAGCGTCACATCTGATTAGCTCCATGCCAGTGAATGAGGCTTGAGTGAGGACTCCCTGCCAGCTCTGACTTGTCTCATTTCCCATTACTTTTATCCGTCACCACAAATGCCGAGTCTCCCTCCTAAACTAATTAAGTTTGCGTGTGTGTAGACACATTGCCAAATAGGGTTTAGCAAAGCAGAACTGAGCATCTCTTTTTAAAGAGGGAAGGCGCAGAGCTGAAACGAGGCTGCTTAGACAGGGAGATGCATTCTCAGAGAGCTGGAACATCTAGGAAATATTCCAGGGAATTACCTTGTGCTTCCCTAAAAGACTTGCAGTGGTGCTGATGCCCTGTTCTACCAAGTGGAGTCCACGCGCTTGGCGCTGAAGGTACTGGGACAGAGAGGGGAGGTGGTGCTGCTTGTCCAAGTTTGGAGGAACATGTTCCTGGAAGCATTGCATGGTGAAACTCCCACTGGATTCTAGATGAGTTCTGGAGCAAGCTGTGTTCCTCTTACCAGTTTCTTGTGCGGTTTGTAATTCCTTGTCCTTAGCTTGGCTGATGGTAGAAAACTGTGCAGCTTTGTTCCTGGCTTCTCCAGCAATGACTTGGGCATTGCTTGGCTTCAGTCCACATGTGCTGTTCTGCACGTGCTGGGGAATGATGTCTTCTGGACAGGCCTGTCTGCTTGTGGGTGCTTCCAGCAGATGCCAGGGCACCGGGAAGCACACAGATGAGCAAATTGAATTTGGGGTGTTGGCTGGGTCACAGAGGAGGACCTACCAGCCTGTCACCATCCAGTGGTGGATGTGAGGACAAGGTGGGTAAATAACCTGTCAAAGCCAGGAGTTGCAGCATGCATAGTACTCGGCTGAGAGAAAAGTGCAAGAGGAACAGCCAAGGTGCAGAGCTCTTACGAGGGTGTCTAGCAGCATTCAAGATAGACGCTCAGCTGCTAAAGGACCCATGAAGCCTCTGCTTGTCTTAGGAGTCTTCAGAGAATGAGGTGCTTTGTGGCTGCGCACTTGACTTTTCTCGAACATCTGAACTTTCCTGGTAGATCACAGAGCTCTTTCTGCTTGGCTTCCCTCTGAGCACCAGTCACAAGGAGCCAGGAAACGGACATGCACCTGGGAAGGGCTCGTGGAGCACCAGTTGAGGTCCTCTGCCCTGCTACTCATAGCCTTGGAGCAAAACACAAAGGAAAGTCACTGCTGGAAGATTTGGCTGCTGCTGCTAGAGAGAGGGCTCCGAAACAGAGTGCTGCTGGCTGCCGGCTTTCAGCTCTGAGCCAGGCTGGAGTCGGGGAGACAGCAGCTCTCCTGCCGCCCCTCCCTTTCCCTCTTGTTAAGATGCAATTTCTTTAATGAGGAAAACCTCTTGAGTAGGAACATCACCTTTCTGAAGGCATGTCCTGACAAGGCAGTTCAAGCCGACAGAGTCGCATCTCAGCTTCAGCAAATATCAGTCACTCATTACAGAGACTTCTCCCCTCCACCCCCCAGCAGCACCCCTCATTCCCAGACAAGGGAATGAATCACACTCCTGCTCTTGAATACATCATGACAGTCGTGGGTCTAATGAGAGAAGGCCATTCATTCTGGGTGGAAAGTTCCCTGTGCCGACACAGAAATGTTATTAATTAAAGAGAGCTACCTGAAGCAAAAGATGAAAGGAGCACCAGACCTGCCAAGCTAAAATATGAGTTGGGATACAGCCTCGTTAGGCACACGGTCCTCGGGCACAGCGGGAGGATTCCTTCAGCCTGTTGCAAGGAGCTCTCCTCCGAGTTGAAAAGCTCCAGGGCCGGATTCAGACCCAGCTTTAGTGCCAGAGCCTCATCCTGCGCGCAGGTGGAGCTGCTGCTGGTGGTTAAACAAATCACATTGATGTGGCATTGAGTGGTGAAGGTAACATACCCCTAAAGGGCCGAGGGAGCCGCTGTCTGCAGGAGATGATTTTAGTGGAAAAAGAGGGTACTCGGAGTCTGCCGAGGTTGAGCCCTTGTGTTGTAAGCTCTTTAGTGTGGTTTCTCTTTTCTGAAATGTCAGATTGCCTCCCTCTGTGTGTGGAACCATTTTGCCCGCTCTGTAAGCACAATGTGAATTAATCTTGGCAACCAAAGGAACGTTTTCACTGTGTGTTCCTGCTACAGAGCTGAGACGCAGCGCAGGTAGGTGATAGGCCTGTGGTCACACGTGCATCGTACATACAGGCAGAGGCAGGGAAAGGAGCTGAAGCCACATCTGGTGAACCTCAGAGCTGCACCTTAATGTCAGGAGCACATTAAACCTTCCAGGTTTGGATCATTCTGCAAATGCAGCAGAAGAGTAAAAACATGCGTAGGCTTGGCTCTGTGTACCTGCAGTATGAAGATGTTTGTACTGCATTTACTGTGGCTGATTACAGTGCGCTAATTTATTTCTTTACAGGAAGCTACTGCTCAGTTGTATTTTATTTTCTTAAACAAGTGTTAAAATGCTAGTACTCTCTAATGCGGTGATATAACATTGTGAAGTATCTTGAAATGTTTATAGCCCTTGGTGCTCTTCCTAGGTTGCACATTAGTAAATTCTGAGCTATTAATTATACCACTGCTTAATTCAGTGTTACTCTTTTAGCCCTTCCTGTGCAAGTGGCACTGACTGGGAGGACACTTGCCTTCTGATACCAGCTCAGAGCGTGTCAGTAGGTAGGTCTTTCTGTCCTTCTGTCCTTATGGCTTGGCTTGGGATCAGCATTAGGTCATGAAGAAGATGAAGAATCAATGGTGTTGGTGTCCTTTATGCACACTCTTCTTTATCACAGTAACAGAAGAGGGTCAGCGGTCTCTGCATGGGGCAGAAGTTGCAGGCAGCCCCTGAGTGCCTGGGGCTGTGTGGGTAGCTGTGGGGAGAGGCAGGAGAAGGCATAGGGTGAGCTGGTTAGGTGATGGCATTGCAGAAGCTAGGTTTAGAGAGTGGCTTTGAGGGAAGAGCTGGTAACAGAAATGTAGTAATCTGCCTTTAAAAATAAGACAGTAATTCCAACTAAAATCTTTGGATTAGCTTTTTTGTTACCTTAATGCAGATTGTTTTGCTGACCAAGCCTGTGGTATATCCTTTCACGTGGTTACATTGGCTCAAGAAGAGGATGGTGAACTGCAGTGCAGGGATGGGACTGAATATCCAGGGT